CCTTCTTAAGATCCAATAGTGCAAAATGCAAATTCTTGTACTTTTTTGACTGGTCTTAAGATTTTGAAGTGTATAAGGTGGAACTAATAGTGTCAAAATTTAAAAAACCTAAGTGGTCCAAAATTCAACAAAGTATCACAAACATAAGTTTCGCCTCCTGTGAATATGTTAATGTTAGCTGCATATGTTCCATCGAAATCTTATCTTGGAAAAGGCGTTAATCTAATGACAACCAGTTGTCAATGAATGAACCTTAATGCAAATTAGGACAAGGCAAGTTAAAGAAATAATAGATTAAACAAAGTTAAACAGAAAATGATAAATGAAGACCACAAAACTTTAATGAACTGAAGAATAATTGAAGAAATAATGTCATTAAAATGTTTAAAATGATTTTCAACCCCCAAACATTCCACATGAAGAGACACCCATATATATATTTTATTTTATTTTATATATATGTATATATATTATTAATAAACATTACGTTATTTTTATATTGGAATACAACACATGTAAAAATCTCTTCCAGTAGCAGGTTTATATCAGTTAATATATGTTTATACTTTTATCACATCATAATGTTTTATAAACTACTTTGTGAATAGTTAGGATACTATAAAGGCTTAATGTTTGTAAAATTAAACCCTTCAAATTTACGACATTTTAAAAAGTATTAATGTATATTTTGATGTTGCCCACCCTACAGTCCCAGACATGCTGATTGCTGAGGGTGTGTTTTGGTTCTTGAAGCTGAGTGTGTTGATCTTACATCACTGAGGACCTCCTGAGCTTTAGCCACCCTTCGCAGCTCGGGGCTGTCGCTGTACGGGAAGAACATGGTCTTCTCCTCTTCCCAGTCCTCCTTGTAAAGTTTCTGAACAACAATAAACACATTTTCCCTCAGGTCTGTTTTAAATGTATAGTTTATTATTAAATTGTTAGGATGTGACACTGGACCTACTTTGCTGTAATTAGCAGCATTCTTCACAGCCAGAACCAGCTCAGGTGCATCAGGGGGCAGCAAGTACCTGTCCTTAGTCTCCTCCCACTTTTGTTTGTAGAGAACCTTCAGGAGATAAACAACAACTCTGCTGTTAAACAGCTTGATTCTGCTGACCTGTGTGAAAATGCACATGTTCTGAGTTTATTTACCTTGCTGATCAGCTCTGACACATGCTTGACGTGAAGGACCTCTCTGGCCTCACCGTCATACAAACTAGTGTTTCTCAGCTTGGTTCCTTCCATTCGGTACTTAACCTGGAACATGTTTAAAATCAGATTACAACCACCTGTAGGAACAACCTTTGACTAAATGAATTCATTCAGGACCTCACCCTTCCTTATATTAAAACACTTGATGATTTGTCTGCTTTAAGTAATTTCACAAAACGAATAAAGAAGCCAACACTTTACTCTGGTATTTCTTATACTGCTTTGTGTGGAAGCCAGCACAGATGTACCTCACTCAGCTGCTCCTGGGCCTTTCTGATGCGAATCATTTCAGGMGTTTCAGTGGAGAGGGCAGGAGGCGCTCCTCTGGACAAGTCGTAAGCTTGGCGGTATTTATTCTGACAAAAAAATTTTAGCGTTAAGATAAATCAGTCAAGACGTAAAGAACTGGAAAACTCAAATAAGTCATTGAGCTCAGAGGACTTTCTTACATGGCTGAAAAGCTCCAGCATCTTCTTGCTGTGGGCCAGATATGGAGTCATGAACTTGGAAGTATCAACCTTGGCCTTCTTCCTGACTCTCCTGGTGGGCAGCCCAGACTGGAAACCACAAGAAGGAAAACAGTTACCTACTGAGTGAATAAACACACTAAGGTTTATATATTACAATAAAAATAATGATAAAACATAAATTCACAAAGAAAAACAACTTTAACTATGGGGTGCCGTTTGTGAAGTTACACAGTCAAAATTACCTCCAATATTTTTGTTTTATTTCACCTTTTATAAGAAAAAAGAACAGATTTATTTTTCAAAGTCAGTTTT